TTGTTGCCATACCTTGAACTTCTTTCTGAAGTTCCTCCACTTCTTTTGTTACCAACGCTATTTCAGACGTGACTAGTTCCTTAATTGCTGTTATATTCTTTTCCTGTACCTCTTCAAGTTGTTCCAGATGTTTCTGTGTCTGCTTTACCATTTCTGTCTGTAGTTGCTTTCCTAGTGCTTGTATCGCCTCCGTCATTCTTCTCTCCATTGCTTCGATTGCTGCCTGCCACTCTTTCTTTTCTTTAGTCGCCATTCTCGGACTTGATGTTGATGCTGACCTCAGCCTTTTTGGATCCGTTTTGAGGTTTAAATTTTTTTTTAACTAAGTCCAAAATTTTCACTCTGATAGACAGATCTATATGCGCTTGACCGATTCGGCTTATTTTCGCTTTTTCTTTGATAGTTTTAAGGTCCCAAAACTTTAATTTAAATTCAGGTCCTCCACAAAATGTCGGGCACAACTCCTCTATGATTTTCTGGCTAGAGTAGGTCAATCTTTAGCTCACCGTGCCCTTCCGGTTGCTTCTTCGCTCATCCGGTCCTTCGTTTGTTAATACAAATCAACTTCCAGTTGCAGAACTCCGGTCTAGGCAACACTTTACTTAGACACACTTCCTGTCGAATTCCAGTCTTTGTGGCACCGGCTTCTCAACTCATGCGATAACTCACAACAGTTTTGATTTTCAACAGCAACCTTATCTTTCTCTCACCACAGGAATGTTCAACACAGTTAGATTTTTGCTTTTTTAGCCATTAAGATCAAGTCTTTTTTCTCCGAAAAAGGATTACCGGGTTTAAAATGCTCTTTTACGCTCAACCGCTTAGTCCAGATCTCGTCAAAGTTCGACACCGGTAAGCAAACAGTCTTTGTTATCTTTCACGTCTAAATAGAGTGTCGCACTGCTTCTTTACAAAAAGTTACTCTACCTCTTCTTCAAGAAATCGGGTGACGACGGATTTATGCTGGTAATCCAGCTCAATCGGCTCCTGTAGTGCTGCTTCGCATACGCCCGCGTTGTAGAAGGAGTTCAAAGCGTGACACAAGCCGCCTCCGAGGCTTAATCACGCCGATCTGTACTTCTACTTGGGCACCGCTGCTTGCTGGTCATCGCCCCTCACTGGGGGCTGCTGCGTTGGGCTATAGCTAGCCCAAGCTGTCGAAAGGAGCCGTCACCCACCCCAAGCAATTTCGGGATGCGTTAATTCGCCATCTTGACCCAACCGGAAGCCCCAAACATGACTTTTGTTGACCTGTTTTCTGGAGGCAATGTTCGCATTTTCAAGGATATGACCATTATTTAAATACAACTAATTTTACCCACAGTTGATGTGGATGATAATGCACTATCAAATACTTTAATGCTTTCAGTGTGGTGAAGTTTAAAAATATATAACTATGTGGCTACTACTTTTGTGGTTCTATGACACTGTTTCTGTGGGGGGAAAACACTGTCTTCTCTTTACTATAAAATATATATATTTTTAATTTTCAACTTTTATTTTAAATAAATATATAAATAATATATACTAAAAAATAAAATGCAGCAGTTTGCAGCTGTCTCAGTGTTGGGTGTATCTGAAGTTCTGGTCATAGAAAACAAAGACATTATACTTTCAAATTTTATAACTATGCTACCTAGTAGTTCTATGTGCTTGATTATAAATGATTTGGTTTATGTTGTTAAAGCAGTAAAATAAATTTAGACTTGACAAGAAAGCATTGCATAGCATACCTTTTGGTTTTTTAAAAAAGCTACTGGATTTCTTTTTTCATTACTCCCCCCCCCCCGCTTCAAAATTTCTGGAAATCTCTATGGACGCATCTCTTTTTTTATTCAGTAAATGCCCAGGTTTAGCAGATTTTATCGTAAAATGGCCCCTAACAAATCAAAATTGGAGTTGTCTATTACTTTTGTTCCATTTGTACCTCAATCCATCCAACCAATTTAAGCACACTCCTGAGAGGTGGGGCCCTAAGCTTTTGATATATCTCTTTTATTTCACAGTTAACAGTAATGTATTTGACTTGCAGGTGTCAGGTGCAGTGAGTCAGTATACCGGAAGCCTGAAAACTGCTCCATTTGGAAGCTCTTTTAGAGTAACTTTTAGAGTAACTTCAGATTTCCCGGAATAATAGGAACCATTAGTGATTTAAATAGGCTTAGACCAAAGTAATTCTGCGTAGGATTTCACTGTCAATTTCATAGGCTTGTTTCCAGCCAGCCTTTCACTCAGTCTTGTCCCATTTCCCTCCTTACTACAGCCTCTTTTCCATGTAGCTTTTGTACATGCAGATCCTGCAATCCCTGCTCAGACTTTTGTTGAAACTAAAGGGGACTCTTACTTCCTTTTTTCATGATCAGAAAAGCTGGTTGGATCCACCCCATACTTTTTGATAATATCTGAAGGAATGGTTTGCAGATTTTACCATAGGGAAATGTCTCAGCTTGTGCTTCATCAGGAGCATACAGATTCCCCTTTGGGGGAGATGATGGGAGCCTCTCTTCAGACATTAAAATTAACACAAAAAAGAGATGTGCGTATACGTTGGTGAACTGCACATAAGAATAAAGAATGTCATGGTTCTGGAGCTGGACTAAACTTAATTCCCACCAGGACCATTTGTTTCTATAAGGCACTCAGATATATAGTTCCAACTCCAGTTTACAATATGCATCATTCCCCAGAGTCACTTACCTTGCTGACTTGTTGAGAAACCTTCTTTGCATGTTCTATGTCTCTTGCCTTTCCATCAACGTGACAGTCAGTCTTAGCCAGGTCACCAGCCATGCGATATTTAACCTATAACAATCCATAACATAAAGATCACCCATAAGAATCACAACCCAAAGTTGTCCATTTTCTTTTTTTTAAGTAGCCTGGAAATTATAGACATTAATATGCTGATCAGAACTATAGATAATATTGACAAGATAATCTAATAATGTAGACCTTAGGAGAACCAAGATAAAATTCAACAAATGATAAAATAACTGTTTGCCATACTGTATTTCAGCTCCATGCTCTCATTCTGCATTTTACCTTTGATTGTGAAAGCCAAACAGGTTTTTCGTTAAAGCCAAAGATTCTTGATCCAGCAAACAATGCATCAGAACCCGTGTGCAGATGTAAGCAAAATCTTTTGCACAGACTGAGATAGTCATGGATGGGTTTGAATCCCTATCTGTACTGAAAAGCAGACAGAAAGGCATACTTTCACTTAAATGATGTACTGCAAATGGGAGTTGCCCAGGATGCCTCCATGTCTGAATGTACATAGCAAAGCAAATGAGCGTCTAGATCCACATCTGGACTTTATGTGTAGTTCTCAGTCCAACAGTATATTCAGTCAGAACTACAGTGTCATCGTACATATCTCCTTTGTTAGAGAGCAGGTTGTATGTGTATTTTTCAGTTGCTTTCCCTTCATTCTTGGGTCACAGAGGTATCTTCATACCAGTCCTAGAATTTCTTGCTCGATGTCGAGTCTGCAGTTTCCTGTCCCAGGGACCTTAGCAACATTTCTCCTAAGGCTCCAGACTGGCTTACAGTAACACTATCTGCATGATTCCTGCCTTCCTCGCTAGAATTAAAATAGCATCAGAAAGAAGTGTCTTCCTGCGTAACCCCATCGATCTCATTTACTTCGTCTGTTTGGCACTTACCTCACTGAGCTGGTCCTGGACTTTCTTGATTCTTCGAAGTTCAGGGGTATCTGTGGTGATTGCATACGGCTTTCCTCTCTCCTTCTCATATTTCTCTTTGTATTTTTTCTAGAAACAGAAATTACAACAGAAGATTTAACATTCTAACTGTAAGTATAGTGATCAAGTTCTTAAAAACACATACTCAGAAATTCTTATGGAAAATCTTTCCCCAAAATTCTTATCTACTTGTACAGTCTGGCAGTGACTTTTTCTTGTCAATTTTTATTTTTATTTTTTTACAGAAAACGTGAAGACTCAGAAGAGTGGCTTGCATCCAGCTATTCCACCCAGCAAAGTCTTCATCCAGCCAAAGGAGCATTCCTTCTGCTCAACAAGACTTTCCACCAGAGGAAGTGCCACTTTTCTTGGAGGAAGGCTTCCAACTTTGCTAAGCAGAATTACGCAAGTCAGCCTTTCTAGTCCATGCCTACATAGATTCAGCAGTACTACTTCATCAGACACCCTCAAACACCAAAATGGCTGCGGGGGAGGGAGCCTCTTTGCTCTGTTGTGGCCTCCATGTGCTACCTTCATAGACTTTCCAGATATGGGTTGGGAAATTCTGGGGGATTGGGGGTGAAGCTTGGGGAGGGGAGGGACCCCAGAGGGGAGAAAGCCATTTAGTCTACTGTCCAAAGCAGCCATTTGTCTCCAATTGAACTGAACTCTGGAGATCAATTGTAATTCCAGGAGATTTCCAGCCCCCTCACACACACTCTTGGAGGTTGGCAGTTGAGCTTTGCGCTCAATTGATCAACATCTTGTAGTTGACCCTGGCCCAAAGGATGTCTGGCTGGCCTCAACTAGGGCCGGGGCCTTTTCTGCCCTGGCCCCAGCCTGGTTGAACAAGCTCCCAGTTGAAATCAGGGCCCTGCGGAATCTATTACAATTCTGCAGGTCTTATAAAATGGAGCTGTTCCACCGGGTTTTCAGTTGAGGCAGCACACATCCAAATTTCCATTCTTGGCCTCCCCTGCTGACAGCTCTAGCCTAGTGGTTAGTGGCTTGATATCCGACAACAACACTCAGAAGGCTCCATCCAAGCATCACTACCGAGGCATGTTTCACTCTGGCTTTCTGGTACTAAATTTTAATTTTAAATTGTCTGAATTTAGATATTAGGCTTGCCATTCGCCAGCGGGGCAAGGGTTTACCTGCTTTTAGGGCCCCTGATCCGCCGGCCCAGATCCAGCTGGTGGGGGGAACCCTGCCCCCAAAGTGCCAGGATCACATCACTGTGCCCAGCGCGATGATGTCACTTGAAGGTGATGTCATCCATCAGGCACATCACCAGGGGAATGCTCTAGCACTCAGCCAAAAAACTCTATGGTACCATAGAGTTTCTAGCTGGATGCTAGAGTGACATGCCTAGCATGATGACATCACTTCCGGGTGACATCATCGTGGTGTGCGTGCTACATGCGCACACCAGAAGATCTCAGATGGGAATTGTAACCCGCCCTAAGCCTGCTTGCGGAGAGAGCAAGATATAAATTGAAGAAAATAAAATTTTAAAAAATTAACAGTCAGTATCCATGCAGCCACACAGCAGGGGAAAAGCAAGGCCATTTTGGTTTGGAAAAAGACCACAGAAGGGCAAGATGAAGTCGCGCCACGTGCTCCCAAGCTGAATCAACCCCTAGAGTGCTTGAGAACATTAGTTCCCTGATGGTAAGTGTATCTGCAACTCATGTATCATGGACAAGACTAGGAACTGTGTATCCTATCTTGCAAGAGTGAAGTTACACTAGATGAAAGGGAACTTTCACAACCACCCACACCTTCCTGCAGCTGAAGTTGTGTCCCCAGGGGTCAGTCTACCCACAGGAACAGTATGAGGAAAGAATTCCTGAAAATTGCCCTTCCTTTGTTCTGCAGATGTGGCTTCCTCAAACAGAAAAGAAGGAGAGGGTCCAAGCCAAAGGCTTCTAATCTTGAAGTCAGGAAGCAATTTTCTCCAGGCCATTTTGGCCATGGATCCTGGAGGGTGTGTGTGGTATGGTTTTGTTTGCTTGCTTGCTTGCTTGCTTGCTATCTTCTGGGCATGGAGCAGAAGTCACTGGGGGTTTGGAGGGAGGCCGTTGTGAATTTCCTGCATTGTGCAGGGGGTTGGACTAGATGACCCTGGAGGTCCCTTCCAACTCTATGATTCTAATGGCTTTCACTAAAACCAACCTTAAGAATTCAAATACCGTTTTCAGTTAATCAACTAGTCATGAATTAGTCATGAATTGGGGACCTTTGACTTCTCACTCAGACCATGGCTATGGTTAAGCATTATATCCAGTGCTGGCTGAAGGATGAAAAGATGCACAGGGGGAAAAACTGGTCTTCTCACATCTGCAACAGTTACATATAAGAGGAAATTTGGGCAAGTGGAACTCATCAAGGAGGCCTAAGAAAAGCAAAGCCTGCTGAAATTCTCTCTTCTAAACGACTATTTAAGGTACTAAAATTCCATCATCCGTTCTGTGATCACTAGCCAAGGACAAGAACAGGGCCACCACATCCTAACTCTTAAATCCCTTTGAAAGGTATTGAAGCTTTCCCAAGCAACCAAATTGACTTTTTTTTTTTTGCTCCTCCTGTCAATGGAACAAGCCTGGATTTTCCTTGACTTACCCTGTCCTGCCTGCTGGGAGGGGAAATCAACATGCCGCCTTCTCTATCACTATTAACTATTAATGTTTTGATATTCACTGGTATAACTGAATTCAACAATACAACTCTGTATTGTCTTGTTCCTGTACACATATGCATATTTCCTTCCAGTTACAATGTGAGCCATCTTCCTGTAATTAAAGCAGGTAACTATGTTGAGTATTGTTACTAAGAGGAAAAATGGCTTCCATTCAATTAAAAGGCAAATAGGAGAGAAGGTAGTGAGGTGCATGTGTTTATAATGGGTTACAGAAGATTATGCTGATAGGGTCAGAGGTGCTAATCTGTTAAAAATAGCTTGCCCTTTCCATTTGAACAGATAGAGTGCCAATTACAGGCTCCCCAGATTGGCTCTACTTATGACCCACAGTTGATCATTCATCTCTGCCCTTCCAGATTCCAAGAGTTGTTCAGGTTCTTCTGGCTTCATCTCCTGGCCCCAATGAGGGCTAGTATATTTGAAAGCCAAATTTGGCAACGTCTCCTTCCTTCCCTTTTCTCTTTGGGGTATAATAAAAGGGAAATATGGGACTCTTCCAAAACTAGAGAAAGATTCCTTTTCCAAATGGTCTGTTCTGATTCTTACATGTTACAAGCTTTATTTTAAATGTTTAAACTGAATCCTGAAGAGATACAGATGTCTTGCCAAAGACTAGAAAACACAGCCTTCTCTCTAGTGCCAAGATCCAAGGATATACTTAAAAAAAAAATTGGATATAATGTTGTACCAGACCATTTTACACATATCTGAAGGAAGGTAAACAAGGCAATGACATAGCTAGGGGGGAAACTGTAGCCTCCCTCTTGCTCAAAATATTGTTTGATCTGAATCTGGGATTAATTCCTAGTGAGTTGTGTACTCTCAAATGGACAGGATCTCTTGCCCTGTAGGATAGATAGTTGTTATCAGTTTTTGGAAGGAATTAGTACCAATAATGGTGTTGATTAAAATATTCCTTTAAAAAATCTATAGGTTTCCCCAATGATTGGGACAACAAATAATGTCCAATATGCAAATCAAACTTCTAAAAGTGTTAATTTAATCATTGGCAGTTCCATACATAACCGTGAAACTAAGACATTACAAACAACTGTTGACTTACATCACTGAAGAGCTTTTGCATTTTCGTACTGTGTTCCAGGTATGGTGTCAAAAACTTCGATGTGTCCACTTTTGTCCGTACAACCTTTTTTCTGACTGGAGCTGAAGGTGTACCTTTCTGGGTTGTCTCCGAAGTATGCTTTGTGGTTACTGTAGAATATGGAGTTGATCCAGTGCTGTATGTAGTCTTGGTGACTTCAGTATAAAACTAGAAATGTGAAAAAGAGTTATTGGGAATTTCAGCAGAATGACTATGAGACCCTTTTGTATCCTTTTCACATATAATTTGTTACTGTATATATAAATTTGCAAATTAGGCCCTTTCAAAATCAGCACAACCTAGCTCCATATAGCATTATTCAAAAACTATGTTAGGAAGTTTTTGAAGAATATGGGTGTTTTTTTAAAAGAAACTCCATTCACATATACAACTACTATGTAGAGAACTATTCATACAGTGTCCCCACAACACATTATTTTATAAGCGTGCGCTTTGAGGAGCTGTTTCTTTAAGAGAAACTCACAAGAACTGGTTTCAGTTAGTTTCAAACAGTTTATATGTCCCTTACAGGCCAGAAGCCTGTAGATGGAGTTTAATAAAGCAATTGAATTACAAATTCACTTTATGAATACTATTTATAAATATAAATGTTACATGGTACCAGGAGCAGAGGCATGAATCATGGAATGTGTCAAACTGAGCCACATGTGCAGTGGCCAAAAGGACTCATAAAATGGTGCACCTGGACAAACTTTGTGAACTGTTTTCCATCGCATATGCATTGTTGGGCAATGCAATCAGCCAATTATACCTATTGTGTGAGATTCGGGGTTGATTCAGTGGTTTACTGGAAGTGGTGCTGCGATATCTAAGGATCGGTTCACAGATTTAGTTTTGTATGTATGTACTACTTTTTGAAAATACATTTGCACTTAAAATGACTGTTATGAGCACAATGCTCTGCAGATAAATCTGCCACTGGTGGGGGACGGTGCCTTAGTGAAAAATCCATTTAATTGTGGCAATCACTGCTGAGACATGGCACTGTGGGAATTCTGGTTCACTCTCTTGAGAACTCTTGGGGTGCATCTTGTAGAAACAAAATTGAAACAATCCTGACTTAGCATCACTTTGGTACAGAGTGGGACAGAAGAGGACACTATCGTGGTCCAGAAACAAGCTCAGTTTCAATTTATAGAGTGCCCTGATTGTTTATTATATTAATATAATGTACATCATCCAGTTTACTTCTGTAAAACTCCTGGTTGGCTGCCGCTTTCTAAAAAAAGGTTTCTGGTTATTCACCAGCGGGGTTGGATTTCGCAAGTCTGTCAGTCCATCATTCTACATGGAATCTTGAGCATAGATAAGTGATGGAACAGGTTCAAAAGGGTAGAAAATCTATAAATACCATTTTACTTTGGCATAATCTTACTGAGTAAACCACTATGCATCATCAGGGAATCAGTCTCCAAGAATACTATCAGAGTCTCTGCAAGAAGCAAATTATTCACTGGGACTTTTTTGAAATCGGAGGCCCACTTTTCTTCATAATCTTGCAGGAGCTCATAAATTTCACTTGAAAGTAGGGAACTAAAAGAAAACAACAGAAGTTCCAGTTTCTTTTTGCGACTCTATACTCAAGTACATGTCACAAACAATGAGTTGGAAACCAAGAATCATGAGCCAATTTCTGCCTGCCAGGAAGCTCACCTTTCCTGCCTGCCCTTGCCTTTGGGAGCTGGCTCCACCCTACCTGAAAAGTTGCTCCTGGGAGCTAGAAGATGGCACAGGGCTACAGCTCAAGCCACAGGGCTACAGCTCAAGCGGGAAGTCTGTAGAAATTGCACAAGCTGAAGTGTTTTCCTCTTATGCAAGGGCACCTTTGAATCTTCCCCTGGTTGTTTTGAACATGCTAAGATTCCAACTGTTTGTATAATAACTAAAGTCTAAAAATTTATTTATATATATTTATAGCACCATAGGGATGGTTAGCACATGTGTGTGTGTGTGTGTGAGAGAGAGAGAGAGAGACAGACAGACAGACAGACAGACAGAGAGAGAGAGACAGAGAGAGAGAGAGAGAGAGAGACAGAGACAGAGAGAGAGAGAGAGAGAGAGAGAGAGAGAGAGAGAGAGAGAGACAGAGACAGAGACAGAGACAGAGACAGAGAGACAGAGACAGAGAGACAGAGAGATGACCCATGCTAGCCCAATCTCATCAGATCTCAGAAGCTGTGTGTGCGCGCGTGCATGCGCGTATGCCATCCTTAGGGCACTATAAATATGAAAAGTGAAGTGCAACTTATCCACCTCCCCTCTCCTGCTGTAGCTCGGAGCGCCCCCTGAAATGCTAGTCCTGGGGGGTCCTGGAGCCCCAGGCCTGTAATGAGAGGAGAAAATTCATTAACCCCCCCACACACACACACACACACTCCATGCAGAAATGATTAGCGAGATCCAATGATATACATCTCCACAAGGAAACATCTTGGTTCCAAACAGATTAGCCAAAGGGAATTTTTTAAGTGAATAAAGCACACATTTCTTACATTGTTTGGCAAGGGAAACCACCTTTGCAAAGATTATGATTCACATAGACAGGCTCATTTTCTTCAGCTTATTATTTTGCAGATCAGGTTTATTCATAGAATCAAACTTTTGATTATAGATTCATGCTACCATGAAGGAGTATTTTACCTTGAAAATATTTGAAATAGGTACAAATATAAGATTGGCTTCCCCAAAACTTCAGATTTCTATAGCCATTTTCTGAAGCCATTATAAACAAGCAACAAAAAAATGGGCGGCGTGGGGTGGGGATACTAGAGCAGTCAGATTGAAAATGAAGGACGTACAAATGAATGGAAACAGAGTTAATGGACATGGACATGAAAGGTTGCAGGAGAAAATGTTGTACTCATTTTCAGATGAAGTACATATTCTTTTAAATGCCACTTTCATGTAGTAATTCCTGGGTCCTGACATACACAGCATTCTATACAAACACAAGTACCACTATGAAGTTAACAAGATCAGAGGTACAGTTAAGAGGCCATAAGGAATTTTGTTAGCTAAATAATATAACTTCTCAGGAGAGGCTGCATAGTTAAAGTACATGCTTTCCTTAGCATTCTACAGTCTGAACATTATCTCTGTCTTAGATCGAAACGATTTGTTCTAATAGTCTGAAATTTGACAGAGAATCCATCTTGTGGATTCCATGATATAATGACTGTATAATTATGTGTATGAACATGCTGGGGGATTACTATTTATAAGCACAACTACATTTTTTGTGCAATGCACAATCACTGGAATCAATGGGAAAGTAGATATCGATTTTATTCATCTGCATCCATCCGAAGATAAACAAAGTTTTTTAAAAAAAACTAATCTAAAAGCTTACAAAGCACTAAGCAAATGAACAATTAAGTAAAAGAACACAATGCAATTAGTTCCCTTTGCAAATTAATACTATCCACACAGCACCAGAAGAAGAAAAAGTCTAGGTATTTTTCTGAGTTAACTATAAGACTCTTGATACAACCAGCAATGTTTCTTGTTTATGTCTTTTGCTACTCAGTTTTCAGAAGCATAAGTAACATTGACACAGTAAACAAAAGTCCTATTAGTTTTTTTATGTGCACACACACTTAGAATTTGAGTAATCCTTAACATTCACAAAATAAGAGGTTTGCACATAAAACCAGAGGTCTTTACCTCCTCCGGTTCCCCCTCTTCAACTTCCTCTTCAATGTAGTACTATAAACAAAGGAGAGATTATTTTTTCACAAGATCATACAGCACAATAAAACATTTTTCCTTTGAGCCAAAGAATACAAAGTATGCCCGGAGAAAAAAAATATTTGTGGTATAGGTCTTCTATCACACCAGTGGAAAATTCTTGAAGATCTTTTTCCCTGCCCAGAAATGTAAGATTTATAGATATTTGTTACACTGCAGCAAACTCCATCTACACAGATAGGTTTTTAGGAGCAAAGCAGCTTCAGCCCAGAAACTAGGTGTTGCTGTGAAGAAGAAATTCCCAGTATCCTATAGCCTAGTTTTTTGATGTGATTCTGAGTCCAGACCGGGGAACTGTGGATTCAGGAAGTGCACCTGCTGCACATATTGTACAGCTGCCCATGAACATACACATGTATACTCAGTCAAGGCCCCCTTTCCTCCTTCCACAGGTACACTATTTCAGGTTTTAGAGGGGCAAATATATTTTGGGAAGCCAAATGAATTCAGTGGCAGGAACACAGGAAAAGATTTTCAGAAGATACTACCATTAAGTTCCTTTCCCAGGAGGGTCTCACAAAGTCTGACCATTTGCAATTATTTTAATTTGCACAAGTTTCTTGGGGACTGAGAATAAACAATCTTCAGTTAATGTGTTATTTTTAATGGCATTTTTCCTTGTGACTGTCACTAAGCACAAGCGTCGACATCAAATACAACATGGAAATTTAGCCATTTAGGGAATATTTGCATAGTATTAAGAGTTTCAACACTTCTTTTAAGTTGTCCTCATGCTTATTTTTCTTGGAATTTTACATACCAAAATGGCAAAGTGGCCAGCAGCCCTGCAATTTTTCTTGATACCAACAAAGGTCATTATGTCCCTGCTCCTGTATTGTCCAGCCCACCAGTTAAGATCTTCTTCTCAACCACTGCTCTTTGTGTGCAAAGATGAGGCACGTGGTGCCCAAAGGCAGGGCTTCTTTGGTGTTAGCAGCTCACCTTTGGAATGCCTTCCCTTTACTTTTTTAATGTTAGCGGCGTGCCTTTTTATAGTTGGAGGGTTTTTTCGCTTGTTTGTATTGCTTTATTGGAAGATTGCCCGGAATGGCCACCGGTCCAAGCTGATGAGATTGAAGTTTTAATTTCACAAATTAAGTCCGGGAAGGCCCCGGGCCTGGATGCAATTCCTCCTGAGGCTATTAAAGCATTTCCAGACTGGTGGACTCCCTTTTTGGCGGCCCTTTTAGGTCAGGTGAAATGCCTGAAGTTTGGACGAATGCCACAGTAGTGCCAATCTTTAAAAAAGGTAACCGCGAGTTGCCTAGTAATTATAGGCCGATCAGTCTCCTCTCTACGATTGGGAAACTCTATGCAAGACACCTGGCAATTAAGCTCAGTGCTTGGATATCTGAACAACAGATACTGGGAATCGAACAAGCTAGCTTCTGTCAGGGGAAGTCCACCTTAGACCACTGTATAGTCTTAAGTCACCTAGTAAATAAATACCATAAAGGGAAAGGAAGCAAGTTAATTGCTACTTTCCTTGATCTGAAGGGTGCTTTTGACTCTGTGTCTAGGGAGCTGTTATGGAAGAAACTAATGAAGCTGGGGATGGACGTAAGATTGTTATTTTTGATTAGGAAACTTTATACTGGTACAACCTGTCAAATCAGAGGCTCTAGTGAGGGTACTCTAACCCCCAAAATTATTATTAATATCGGGGTTAAATAGGGATGTATTTTAGCCCCACTTCTCTTTAATTTGTTCCTCAATGATCTGGCTGCCTGTTTGGAAAAGTCTGCAGGTTATAGTCACTGCCCATGTTTAAGTGGATGAGCAATCCCCCTGTTTCTACATGCTGATGATGCCGTCATTCTCTCCCGTTCTGAAGTAGGGATGGAAAAATTGCTGGAGTGTTTCTTGGATTATTGTGATCATAATGGACTTTCAGTGAATTTTGAAAAATCTAAAGTTTTGGTCTTTGGGGGATTCTGGAAACCTATGGAGTAGGTGGAGGTCTTTACCTTGCTTAAGCAGAGGCTTATTGATATAGAGCTGCAAGGGCTCAGAGCCCTTGCCTCCGGAAGATGCTCCCCAGTAAGATAGGCCTATCCCCCTTCTGGTGCTCCACCATATTACTTTTTCTGCCTGACTTCGCCGCAAATGTGTAGAGCTTATTTATTGGCTCGTTTTAATGTTCTCCCCTCTGCTATTCTTGAGGGGAGATATAAGAAAATCCCTTATTCAGACAGGTTTTGTGGATGTAATAGAAGAGAAATAGAAACTGTTGAGCACGTACTCTTACATTGTAAATTGTTAAATGACATTCGAGTGGAATTTATAGAAGCACCCCTTAGGTTGGTAGCAGGCCAACCGGATAGAATCAAGGTACATTGTCTCCTTGCTTCACAAGATCTGGAGATCATTGAACTGACCGCTAAGTTTCTTCATGGTTTTATAAAATGGAAGAATGACCCTGATCACATTAATGTGTCTTAATTTATACATTTAAAAACTCAATTTCAAAGTTTAGAATTTAAATTTACTTTACGACTCAGGCATTTTTGTATGGCCAAATCTATCTTGTGACAACTTGAGTTATGTTATAGGCCTGATATATCCTTGGAATGGTTTACCACGACTATCTATTTTATAATGTCTATTGGATTGTATTAATATTAGGAAATTGCTTCTAATATTGTATGCCAATAAAAGGTATTTGACTTCTATTGCTTTATTGTTTTAAGCCACCTTCAGCAGCATACATATTTTCTAAATAAATAAATAATTGCCAGCTATGTGTCTATGCTGCTGTACAAAAGGAGTGACACACCGAGTAGAATACAGTCCATGCTCATAAATACAACCCATTAACATCTTCACAGAGTTCCTTTTTGACCACTTCCCTTTTCAAGCACCTGGCGAACCACTGTACATGGCTAGTGAGCTGTGTTTATCTTGCTGGGTAATCAGTTAACTTATACATAAAACAAATCTTAAGCCATTAGACCAAATCATATGGTCATTGCTTAATGCACTGTAAACAGCATGAGTTGATTTTTCTCCCCTGTGGCATGTTGGATTGGTTGAGTGAGAACTCCCAAACTGGGCCTGTTACTATTCCAAGAAGGGTTCATGTTGCAACTCACCATCGCCTGGTTGAAATGAGTTTTCAACAATCGTTATTTTAACATAATGGTTAGAAACTTTGGAAACACCTGGACCCTTGATAACACAGGAGTAAAAAATGGATGAGGGATTGGTTATGGCATACTGGGACCTGCCAGTTTGGTCAGTGTCCATGCTGATATTTAAGTAGTTCTCTGGAAAAACCGGCTGCTGACTGCATGATAATGCATACAAAGGCCAGTTGAACACACCTATACTCAGGACGTCAACACATAAAAGTAGCTTTATGTGAATTTCTTCTAAAGTTTATTGTGGAATGAAAATCGTCCTGGGATATTTTGTTGCTGACATAAGGAAGAGTTAAGACCAGCCTTACATAACTGAAATATCACAAAACTTTAATCTCACTAATTATTCTGGCTCCAGCTTGTTGACAAAGCTTCTCACGTAGATCTAATGAATGCGTTTCTGGAAACAATGTTGTTGTTTTTAAGTCTGTGATTTCTGGGCTTTTTCCCCTTACAAGTTTTGTTTTATAACCTGTTTCTTAAGAGGCAGGCAATGAAATAAAGTGATATCAATACAACCTGAGTAGTATCTAAAGAAATAAATCAGAAATAAATACTTATGGCAATGAAAAAAGAAATAGAAATGAATCCAGTTGTAAGATGACTTGAATACTTTCAGTATTAAACTTATCTATACATACGTTTTCCTGCTG